ACATTATTATTTTATTACAAATTTACATTATTTGAGAAAAAATACTATTTCAGTGACAATTTGATCTGAAGACTGGATATTGGCAAGTAGAGTTACATCCTGATCGCCGAGAAAAGAGGGCATCTCCTACGGGACAAGAACTTTGGCAGTTCAAGGTGGTGCCGTTTGAACTCTGCAATGCGCCGGCTACATTCGAGCGCCTAATGTTTTGAAAAGTCTTTCCTTCGATGTCCGTCTGATATACCTGGATGACTTCATCATCGTCGGGAAGAGTTTTGAAGAACATCTAAAAAATCTTAGAAAGAAACTTTAGAAACTAAAAGAAGCCAATCTAAAGTTGAGTCCCGCTAAATGCAATTTATTCAGACAGGAAGTGACTTAACTCGAATATGTCATCTCTGCTGAAAGTGTGTGTATGAATCCTGAAAGAGTGTCAACCGTTAATGACTGGAAACGTCCCGAAAATATCCATCAGCTGAGAAGCTTCCTAGGGCTTTTCATACTATAGGAGATTGGTGAAGGACTTATCTTCCATCGCAAGACCTCTTCACAACCTGGCAGAGAGTAAACAAAAGTTCTTGTGGACAAAAAAATGTAAGGATGCATTTAAGAACCTGAAGCAAACTTTAACATCTGCTCCAATCCTGACGTATCCTCAACTCGACAGACCAATTATTCTCGACACGGACGCGAGAAGTGTCGGTGCTGTTTCGTCCCAAGAAATAAACGGCCAGGAACGTGTAGTGGTTTAATCGAGCAAGTGCATGTCTAAACTTGAGAGGAATTACAGAGACTCCAGGACTATGACAACATAATCCGTCATCGGACGAGATAACACATGGAAACGCCGACGCCAGTGCTAAAAGACCTTGTCTAGAAAGCTGCCGATCTTGTTCCAGAGTCAAAGCGAAATAGGAGCTCCTGAATCCGGTCGCACGAGAAATTACAACATCATCGTCATCGAGATCCATGGAGAGATAAGGAATTCAGGAAAGACTAGATGGAAGACCGGCAACATAATTTACATAACAGTGTCTTCAAACAGAAAACCTACCAGGCAGGACATTTCTATCTACAGTCCTACAACAAAACAATATTGGGCACTCTGGAATTAGCTCCATATTTGAAACGTCGTCTCGTTACAGATATTCGAATCGCATGATGGAAAGACATTCCGATGGCTGCTGCTACTCTCAAGATCCCGCATCCCGAACGTCCTTAAAGATCTACATAGCAGCCCTGCAGAAGTTTACTTCGGAATAATGAAGACCTTGCAGAGAGTTCGAGAGCGTTTTTACAGGAGTCATGAAAGGATGATGTGCAGAAGTATTGCCGATCTTGCGATGCCTGTGCAGGTCGGAAAGGACCAAAGAAATGCGGCCGAGGCAAGCTGCAACGTTACAACGTAGAAGGGCCTTTTGAACGTAGTATCGCCTGTGACATCTTGAGACCTCTGCCACGAACTCCTGATGGCAACAAATAGATTTTCGTTTGTCATTGATTACTTCATCAAGTGGCCTGAATCATATCCTATTCCTGATCAAGAGGTTGTCACAGTAGCAGAGGTAATGATACAGCACTGGATTTCTATGTTCGGAGGATTGCCTCTCCAGTTACATTCCGACTTTGAAAGGAATTTTGCCTCAGCTGTAATAAAAGAACTCTGCAAGCTACTCGGCATCGACAAAACCCAAACGACGCCTTTAGATCCCCAGTCGAACGGCATGGTAGAGAGGTTAAATCGAACCATCCTTAATAACCTCTCATTAATGGTTTCCAGAAACCAACAGGATTGGGAGAAGAAGTTACCACTGTTTTTACTGGCGTACCGCATTGCTGTCCACGAGACTACAGGCTATTCTCCATCGCAGATGCTCTTCGGTCGTGACCTTCGTCTGCCTTGTGATCTCTTGTTTGGTCGCCCTCCAGACGCGTCTTCATCGCCGAAGGAATACATTCAAGATCTCCAAGCCCGGTTTAAAGTCCTAAACAGGCTAAAGGACGTCGTGATTTGGATCCGTACGTCATCGAACTCTAAACATTAAGCCGTTCATTACGACAGATTAGCAATAGTATTGTAAGTATAAAACCATGGTCATTTTTGTTTCTGAATTTGTATTTGATTTGATTTTTATTTAGTATCTGATAGCATTTGATTTATTTTAAGTTACTAATTGCAATTGTTGTCTATGTTGCTAATGTAATATAATGTTTATTATTGAATTGATGCCTTAGCTGTAAATTTGACTTCCTGTCCAGTCATTGTACTGCCCGGGATGTGCAGTCATTGGGAAGGGGTTAGTGTTACGGATTTTGTATATATTTAGCTATTTTTAGTAGAATTCGTAATTTTTTTTAATATATTCCCGTGCAATGCAGCTCGAGACTTATTTGAAGAGAAAGCTACCGAAAAATTAAAATGCAGGAGCACGCGCATTTAACATTTTAATAAATAGATATACCGTAATTGCCCTCTTTTGATATCCAGAATAATCGGGAAAAATGAGCCAAATTTGGAGATACAAATTAGTCGCCCAAACCAAACGTTGGCGATATCTCGATATCTCGTCAGTCAGAGTGAGCTATTTACTCATTGTTAAATAGACTTATCACTATATTCTTGCTTTTCTGACAAAGCATCGCCTCATTAGATTTTCATGTTATACTACACACACACACACACACACACACAAAAAAAAAAAAAAAAAAAAAAAAAAAAAAAAAAAAATCGAAGAATTTCACGTAAAATTTCACCAAAACGGTACATAGTTTTACATCTAGTTACTACTTATTTTAAAACTACAAACTATATATATATATATACAAAAGTCCTTACAATATGTTACTAAACTATGAACTTCTTTTTATTATTATTAAATTTCTACCATTAGCTCCCACTTTCCGTATATCTTATTCAAATTTCCAATCGTTAGTAAAACACTTTTATTCATCCACTCAAGTTCAAACACATTTTTTAAACTTGTATTGGATGAAGCTTGATGTTAATACAGGTTTTCCACATATTAAAGTCAGTTCCTACTTATTTATTCCTGTTTATCAGAACTAACGTTATGCTGCTGTTATTAAATATACAGGGTGATTCCGAATTCATCATCAATATTTGGTGGGGAGGAAAAGAAGGGAATAGGAAAAGAAGGAGATTTCACATAGGAATGCATGTGCCATGTAGTAGAGCAAAATGACTGCAGTTCAAGATATCCTTCTTATGTGAAGGACATCTTGAAGTTATGGGACTTCCTTCTTATGTAATGGAAACAACACATAAGAAGGAAGTGGTAAGGGAAAAACATTTATTATCTTACATGTAACATTTCTTTGCGTCGGTTTTACAGACTTACAAGACGTGCTTGAACTGCCGACCATGTACTAGAATGCATGACTCACAACGGCGTTGCACAGACAACCGGACCTTCTTGAATATGCCTGGCATTTCTCAGATATTTGCGGCAGCAACCGATATGCATGCTACAAGGTCCATAGCACTGCCGCCCGGACGGTATAGTGGTTAGGGAATCCTAACTGCAGTACCGAAGGGCCTGGGTTCTAAATCCCAGAGAACGTATGGTTGTAACTGTCCGTCCGTTCACAGGAGGCAGTGGTGGCCCACCTATTACGTGCCTTCATAATAAAGAGACCACCACATCTGGCCTTGTATAGATTAACCATGCGTCTGTCTGCGACCATGCTTCCCTATGTGAAATCTCCTTCTTTTGCTATTTCCTACTTCCCCACCAAATATTGATGATGAATTCTGAATCACCCTGTATGATAAGACATACAAAGAATGACCGTTTATTAGGAATTCTCACGTGCTGTAAGAATAAATTTTGTAACAACTTATGAATAATAGTACATGATTTTGACAAGTGGGATTGTAATATTTAACAAACATAAATGATAACAGTAAGACAGAGTACTCAAGATTTTTTAAGTGTATGGAATTAAAGAATTGTAGTTTTGTAGAGTTGTATGAAGCGGATGTAATGTCCCATTACGTAATTAAAATTCTCCTCATGTTTCTATGTTAACATGGAAATAATATATGTTTAAAATATAACTCTTTAAAAATCTCTCTTGCTTCACAAAGGGAGAATGCGAAAAGAAACTACAACACAACGTAAGCGACGATTAGATTAAGAAAAACAGCTGCAGGTCAAGCATATGTCGCCTTGAGTCGTATGAAATCATTAGATGGAATATTAATTGAAGAACTGGACTGTTCGAAACTCACTGGAAAGGTTCCTTGCAATAATGAAGCATTACAAGAGATGGATAGAATGAGAAATTACAGACCACCATCAGCTTCATAAATTAAAAAGGAATAATGTTAATAAAAGTAACTAAAATAAAATGCTTCTTTGTTGACCCCAAGTAAGAATTGACTTAAATATTTTTATATATATTACTTGTTTTTATTACAGCTTCACTCATGCTAGTTTTTCGATTCTGATAAAGTTTGCAACATTGCAGAGAAATGGTTAGAAATTATCTTCATCACGAAATGTAAATACCCATCGGTCAATTGGGTTCTTTCATTATTAATTTTCAACTGTGAAAACTGCGTGTTCTTTTAGTAATCATTTTCAACTGTTCACATATATATGCATTTCCAAGCACAGCGATTATCCGTAGTGCAAAATTTCGTCGAGCTTTCATTACAAACGATCTACTAGCTGTAATAGACAAATTTATCTCAATTTCCGCTTCGAAGTACTTGTACACTGGAATTAACATGCATAACCACATACAGGATAAGCGTAAGTGATAATGGGTCGGAACATGGTTTTATCACGAGTAATTTGTTATCTACAGACAAAAATGAGTTCCGGTAAGTTAATCCAATTCAGATGGCCTTGGTTTCGAGATGTTAATGAAGAGAACGAAATGCGTCATCGGTATTCTTATGCAATACCGAAATGTGAACTAAAAGTGAAAGAAGATAACTGAAACTAAAAGAGTGTTGGAAGCTTGCCGTTGAAATATATCGCCACCTCGATTTCAAACTCAGGCTATTACGTGCGGTTAATTAGGCCTTTGAGGAGCTGATCGAAAGGATCTGATTTGTTCTGTGTAAATACATTACACTTCAATGGCGTTGGAGCGTTTATCTATGGAATGGAGAACTAAGTTTCTCGATTGGGATCTATCGATTTCACGTGGTAGTGTAGAAGTTCGAAGTTTCGCACGTTACCTAAAGTATACGAACTGGTATTTGTCTTACATCTCAAACTATAGTGGCAGCGCTTACTCAACTATTTCTGTGCAACTTCATAGGGACAATCATGCTAAGAAACTTAAAGTAGTGGGAAATTGCTACATTTCATCAGAAAATAATATCTCTAAGGCATACTTGGATTGCATTATGCACAGCGATGTCAAACACATAGAAGTTTATTCTAGTGGAAGATATATACCTAAAAAAAACATAACTATATACCTTGACGCATGGATTACGGAATTAACAGAAACGGGAGAAAAATCAGTCCAGACTCAGCCAACATTCTTTAAGCTGCCGGGCGATATGCATGCAATGTATCAGAAGCAGGAACACTCAGACTTGACTGCCATCTGCCAAGACAAAGAAATCCGTGCTCACAAGTGCATCCTTTCGGCCAGATCTCCAGTATTCGCTGCGATATTACAGCACGACACAACTGAAAACCGCGACAGCCGAATAGTCATTACGGACATCGAACCTGATGCCTTCGAGGAGCTGCTGCAGTTTCTGTATTGTGGTAAAATAAATCCGTCTACTTATTCGAAGGCCTGTGATTTGTACTACGCAGCTGACAAGTATTTCGTGTCGGATCTCAAAGATCAGTGTCGTGATTTTATTACTTCTTCGCTATCCACTACGTCAGCTGTCGAAACGTTAATTTTAGCTGATAGGCATAAGAACGAAGAATTGATGCAAAAAGCCGTCACTTTTATTACCTCTTCGTACCAGTGTATAAAATCAACAGAACCGTGGACTATTCTTCTGCAAGAAAATCCAACTCTCGCAACTAAAGTTCTAACTTTGGTTGAGGAAAACTCTCATGCCGAAAGCCATGGTGATGTGTGACATATTTTGTGTTCCTTTATGAATCCGTAATCGCAGGTTGTCACTGAAAATAGATAGTATCTGGTCTAATTAATCTGAAGTAACATGTAAAATATGATGAAGAAAAGTGTCATTTAGGTAAACCAAAGTGTTTCCCAATCTTGGGGCTATGATTCACAAGATTGTCTTAAATAGATTTTTTGCTATTGTTCGAAAGTAAGTATTTCATATCTGCTGACACATAAAAGCAAGTATACTACTTTGAAATTTCTGGTACTTAAAAATGATATTATGTGAACATTTTATGTGAAGATGAAAATATTGTTTAAAAATTATTATGGTTAGAAATGAATTCATAATTTTTCTCAATTTATACCAGCTGAGACTTCTTTAAAAATGTATTTTTTATAGATAGGATTTGTTATTCATAGAATTATAGTTTTAATATAAAGTGTATAAGTTTTGTTTCGTTAATAACGCAACCTAGATGTTTTATGATTCTTTCATTCTTTTGACAAATGAAGCAAAAGAGTATGAATGCTATGTGTAAATAAAATCAAATGTCTTCTGTAATAGCAGTCCATAATTTTTCTTTAGGAAGTTCGTTATATTAATTTTTTTTCTCGAACATTTGTATTACTGAAATATTGAAAAAATTAATTACCGAAATTTTGGAAAATGAATATATGTACAATAACTCATGTAACTACAAATTATATTTTTTGAGAAATTCATTATATTTTCGTTTTTTTATTTCACGAATATATTTGTAATACTGAATTAAATGCTAAAATCTGGGAAAAGAGTATTAATGCTTTGTATATAATGTAACCAATAACTTCCTTCTGTAATTTCAGTTCATAATTTTTTTACGAAATTCACAATTCATTTTTTTTTGTTTGTTTCCTAAACATTCGTATTATTGAAATGAAAAATATAATTGCTAAAATCTGGTAAAAGAGTATATGCATACTATGTGTACTTGTAATCACTACCTTTTGTAACTGCAATTCTTCCCATGCAGCACGCATTCGTAAATTGCACGAGAAAAATACGTGCAATTTACGAACGGCCCTTTGTATTAAAAAACGTTCAAGTTGAAAAATATCATAAAAAGTGTCCATAAAAAAACAGTAGATATTTACGTATATTTTCACGTTAAAATATACGTAAGTTTTACGCAAAATTTAGGTATATTTATGCAAAAGATTATGGTTCATTCGTAACTTTTACATATAATATACGTCAATTTCAGGAATTTATGTATATTTTACTAAACATTTACGTATATTTATTCCATATAAATACATACATTTCTCCACGTTTTGCTTCACATATGCATATATATTTAGTAAAAAGTTACCTAAATCTTCCCTATTTTTTACTGTATGTAAGTGTATATATTGGACAGAAATTTATGTACATACTCCCCGTATTTTACGATACAAAATCGTATATATTTGATAGTAATTTACCTAAATCTTCCCTACGTTTTCTTTGCATATGCGAATGATTTAGGTAAAAATTTAGTTCGATGTTCTCTCTTCTTTACTGTGCATAAATGCACATTTTTGGTAAACAAGTTTGCATAAAACTTCAATTACCTTTTTACTGCATTTTTTGTAAAGTGTACCTATTTTAATCTCATATTTTTTATATAAATCTATGCAAAAATATTTTGCATATTATGATTAAAAGTGAAAATATCATTTTTATAAAACATTTTTGCGTATCCGCCTTTTAGGTATGTACAGCAAAATGAAATATATATGTAAGTGGAAAATTTAATGCACTAGTAAATGCAAAAACAAAATTCTGTTCAAAAATTACGTTACACTTAAAGGCTGAAAATCACTTTTAATATTTCATATTTCATTTCAAAGTGACTACAAAGTATGCAATAAATTTAGTAAACATGAATTCTATGTTTTAAATCAATTAATGCTACCCTACATTTACATGGCATATGAAAATTTCCTTCGGAAAAACAAATTATTTTTTAAAGTATTATTTAGCGAAACTGAATTTAGTAAATAACTGTAGCAAACAATTGTTTACTAAACTGCATTACACTTAGTTACCGAATTCAGTAAACGACTGTAGCGCAAAACATAACATCATACATTTAGATTATTTTAATGAGTATTTGTAAGTATTTTAATGAGTAATGAGACCATGAAGGATATTGCAGAAAACCTACCTTTTCCTATAATTACAAAGTTAATTTTTTTTTGCTTACTTTCCTTGAAGATGAATGTTTAATGTCCCAAATATTGCATTCATAACTTCAGATAATACGCGAATATACACTCTTAGAAAAAAAAAAAAAAAAAAAAAACGACGCACTGAGAAGATATAAAGCAAATTGAACACAAATTGATATGCATACAGGTTTCGACAGAAAATGCAAAATTTTACATTTTGGCTGCCAATGAATGAACGGTTGTCGTTACAGCGCATCTGATCTCTGCGCATCTATCCTGCAACTGGCAGGATATGAAGAGAAGAAATTACGATTCCAGGTTATAAATTCTTCACGAATTTCATTCCGTGTACTCTGGTAGACAGTAACTATGCCTCCCATATAGATGCGCGAAAGATATGCGCAGATGTCAGAATTTGAGAGAGGTCGTGTAGTTGGACTCAAAGAAGCCAGTTGGTCTTATCGGCGAATAGCTCGACATTTGAGCAGGAAAGATCCACTATTAGACGATGTTGGAAGGAATGGGTGCACCATGGCCGCACATAGCGTTAAGAAGGAAGCGGTAGGCCTAGAGAAACGACAGAACGTGAAGACCGAGCAATCGTCGAGCGGCACTCACAGCCCCAAATGCATCATTATCATCGATTTTACTTTCAACTAGTGCTTCAGTTACCGCAAGGTTGCAGTTGTTCCGGGCTCATTCGCACTGGAATGTCACAGACTGGAGTAGAATAGTCTTCAGTGATGAGTCTCGCTTTGACCTGAGTCCCGAGGACCAGCGAGTCTGGAGACGCACCGAACAGCGGTGTGATACCAACCTGACTGTCTTCCGGCAGACAGGCCGACAACCAGGAGTGATGGTCTGGGGTGCCATTTCATTTCATAGGTTGTCATCCCTTTGGTTGTCCCCCTTTGGCTGACCCCTTTGGTTTTCATCCGTCGCAACCTTACAGCACAGCGGTACGTCGACGAAGTTCTAAGACCCGTTGTGTTGCCCTTCTTGTCACGACAACCTGGGCTTACATTTCAGCAAGATAATGCCTGCCCCCACACTGAACATGTTTCTATTGCTTGCCTTAGTGCTTGCTCCAACCAGCTCCGGATGTTGACGATCTAACGAGCCAGTTGGACAGGATTTGGAACCATATCCCTCAGGACGACATCCGCAACCTCTATCAATCGATACCAAGCCGAATAACTGATTGCATAAGGACCAGAGGTGAACAAACGCGTTACTGACTTTTCATTTTATGAAGCTCTATCAATTCAATAAATCATACAATTTTTCTCAAACTGTAATCATTTGTTTTTCTGTACATGTAACTCCTTCTTGGTGCGTCTTTTTTTTTTTTTTTTTTTTGTCTAAGAGTGTATATATTTATTTGTTAAAATTAAGTCTCTATCAAAAACGTATTAAAGAAAATAATATTAATTAGCATCTGTAAGTTAATCATGTAACTTCTGTTTTTAAAATTTACGGCATATAGTTTACAGACATAATTATGAAATGGAAACATTTTATATTTATCAGTCAATCTTGCAATGCATTGTAATCTATTATTGTTAGCTTTCTCAGTTTTAAAACTTATAAACATATTAGATCAGTGCTAATTGTTCACTGCTTTATCGATGCATTTTTAAAAAGTTCCTTTTTACAATGTAACTGATAATTTCATAAAAAAATTATAGTTTCATAAAATTACGCAATTTTTAAATTATCTAAATATGTTCTTTATTTTTATGTTAAGTGCTTAAATTGTTGACTCTTATATTATTAGCATTTAAGACATAAGCTAATAAAGAAGACTGTAATTACCGTAAATTACTTTTGAAAGTCAAGAGCTTAGTACGAGAAAACAGATTCATATTCGAAACTTAGCCATTTGAAAGTATTTTGCATAATTGAAGAGGGATAAATATTAACATTTATTATCATTATTATGCTTGAGTATTAAGAAAACAGCATTTCAGTCTGAAAACATCAACTGCTCGTAAAAAGTATAATAACACAATTTAATAAGAGAAAATGAAACATAACATATATGAAATGTGATTACTAACGAGTGCAAACTGAATTGAATTAGAGAGCAAGCAAATAAAGCTTACTGCAAGCACATTTCAGTTTTAATAAAAGTAAATAACCTAAAACATAAACTATGTTTATATCTTAAAGCAGTTAGCATCAAAAAATTCAATCGCAATGATAATAATGTTACTTTTATAAACCAGATACTATTTATAGTAATAAATGCACTTATTCTAAATTGGAGTGATAAAGTTAAATATTTATTTATTAGAGTGAGAAACATGCTTTACTTTTCTTTTACAAAATGCTTCGTAAAAATTCAACTTAACCTCGTTTTTTCAACAAATTTAGAATCTGCAAATGACATTCTGAATGCCTTTAAAAGATTTGAGGTATTGCACGAAAAATCCATTTGTTAAATTAAAAACATAAAGCTTACCATTCAAATGCAATTCACTAAATTAGGAAAATAAATGTTTATTATGAACGCATACCTCTCTCTCTCTCTCTTCTTTTTATAAATAACAACCTTTAATAGGTGGAATTAAAGTGTGATTTATTTACTTAATAAATTTATTGTTCAGAACAAATAGCACAATAAATTGTTTTGTTGTTATCACAGAACAAATTTATTGTTCTCGTAATAAATAGAAATGTTTAGCCATTGATCTTAAAAAAGCAGCTTTAAAAAAAAAAAAAAAAAAAAAAAAAAAAAAAAAAATTCATAACGAAGCCTGATCAGCAACGCCAAATCAAACTTGCGCTTTGTGCTGCATACTTTTTGCGCACAAATAATCAAGTAGCAAGACACTGTATCACACAGTACTAATCTAGGGTCTAGATTTTAATTCACTGTACTAATTACTTATTCCAGCATAACATTGCGAACCTAATATTTCAGTATGTACATGTCTTGTGTATCTAATGACAATGCTTCAAAGGATCATAGTGTACTCAACATATTAGTACACGCGATTATAGCGATTTATAGCGATTAACCGTATTGGTAGAGGGGTAGCGCCCACGTCCTCCGTCGCATGTCGCATGTTGCATACTTTTTGTTGCGACTTAAGTCTTGTTGAGAAATTGCGAAAGTCTTTCTCATAATCAAGTTTAAAGATAAAAATACAGTACAATTGAACTCCAATTATCCGAACTCCCACTACCCGAATCGCTGATTATCCGAATCCATTTCAGAATCAACTGAAGAAGAAAAGTAAAAGAAGAAAGAAAAGAGACAGAAGATGAGGATGACGTGTCACCTGAGGAATTAAAAAACATTCTATAAGATATTTCTCCCACTTTCCTAGCGTTCTTCGTGGTGTAGTGGTTCTGCACGCTGGTCCGGTATTCCAGAGGTCCGTGGTTCGATTTCCGGCGAAGTCGTTTGCTACTTTTCATCTTGCCTGCTTCTAAAACATACCTAATGTCTCTACAATTCTGTTGAAAATTCCTGGATGATCAAAAGTTAGTGCTGAGTTACAGCAGAATGGATGGCGTGTGATTCGTCAGACCCTGGGTTTCAAATTCTAAATGATGAACTTATTGAAAGTGTGTGAGAAGAAAGTGTCGAGGAAGAAAATGACCTTAATGTCGAAGTTGAAGCAAATACCTGACCATGAGCTAGTGAAGCGTTTCCTGGCTTTGAAACTGCGCTGAAGTGGATGGAGCGTCAGCTCGGATGTCACCATATGCATCTTCTCATTGTCAAGCAGACGCGCAACTTGTCTGCCCGAAAACAGATGAAAACAGTCAAACAGGCCTTACTTTACCGAGATGTTCAGCAAGCAATGACTTTCAGCACCTGTATTACTGTACAGTACGCTATATAACATGTGCGTGTAAGTGTTGCCTTTTCATTTTAATTAATTTAAATCCCTTTTTCTTTAAGGCGGCTCATACACCTTAAACCCTTTATGATCCTCGAATATGTGATTGTTGCAAGAATTGGGATATTTTATTTATTTTAAAAGCAATTACTTCCAAAATTTTGCTGCTTTGGGAACTAGTAACTAGAAAGTTCGTGTTGCCACAAAAAGTTTTGTAATTTAATCTGCTTTGTGAGAAAATGTTTCCACCTTGCGCGCAAGACATTTTAAAAATGGCTAATGGTATATACTTGAGATTGGACGGAATTCTTTACATGGGCACTATTTTCTAAGTGAACCAAAAATACGATAAATATTTTAATATTAAAAAATTTTATGCACGAAAACATTACAGATTTTTTTAATCAAATACATTTTATAAACTCCACTCCAAATAAAATAAAAATTTAACATGAAATTCTTAGAATTTTTGGTTCACGGTAGTTTCCAAATAATATAAAAGCTATATATTAAATATGGAATTAAACTATGCAAAAGAATGTTTTAAACTGGACACGCATAGTGGAAGCATGACGAAACATTTTGTCACAAAGCGGATTAAATTTTAAAAATATTTGTGGCAACACAATCTTTCTGATTACTATTTCAGAAAGCAGCTATATTATGAAGTCAGTTGTAAAAAGTTGGAAGTAATTGCTTTTAAAATAAGTAAGTTATCCCAATTCTTGCAACCGTCACATATTCGAAGATCTTATGGGTTTTAAGGTGTATGAGTTCCCTAAAAATAGTTTTTTTCCTTTATATTTTCAACATACAGTACATACAGAAATTAATTAAAGTGTGCGTAGACCCTTTCTTCGGAAAATATCCAATTATCAAGTTTTTTATTATCCGAATGGGGTCTAGTCCCAAATGATTCGGATAATTGCAGCTATACTGTAATACGAAATTGGCAAACTCATAAGATTTACTTTTCGTATATCTATAGCGTTTTTCAGAAATGATATTAACGTTTTAGAATATACTGATTCAGAAGTCAAACAACAAAAATCAGCTTAATTAGTTTTAGTAGTTGTGTCTTAATTAGTTTTAGAATATTCTAGATTAATTCGATTAAAATAAGAAGACATCGTTTACAGAAACGCTTAGCGTTTACGAAAAAGTTTTATTCCTGTTATAACTGAAATATTCTACTTGGCAGTATTCATAAATTGCATTTCATTGTAAAACTAAAAGCATTTCGAATACATTCATTTGAAGGTTTCAAAATTTTGATCATTGTAGCTCTAATGCATAGCGCGGCTACGGAAAGTGAATATCAAATAATATTGTTTCTGAACGTTACTTCAAAGTTTTATTATTAATATAAAAGCTAAGCTAAAAGCAAATTTTAAGTTTCCCAAAAGTAAAAATATTTCTTTAACTTTCTCAAAAGTTTCTATAAAGACATTTTCAGCTCTAACCTGCTTTAACAGTTAGGACATACCTTTGAAATAAATTCTTCACACAATTTTCGTAGCTATTTCGAGCTGCTGCTCAACTGATATTTTTCCTTTTTATTTCATTTTAATATAATCTAGACATTGCCCTTAAAATGCTCGAAACTTCTTTGAATTCGCTTGAGATATGCAAGTTATAAATGCATTGAAAATGCTCGACGAATTTGGCGCTGGTGCGTATATAGAGATCACTATTTTTCACGTTGTCCACTTCGGAGCGATTTCGATTGCAAATTAATAAAATTTATTGTCAGAAAAATCCAACTAAAAAATACTGTTACTTTTTTAGACTCCTTCTCTGTCGTTTAAGCAATTTCTGCAAATAATGTCGAGTAATTAAAAATGATTGAGTCTTGCAAAAAGAATTCTTTATCTTCTATCCTCAAAAGGGGTGACTATTGTCTAAAGTGGGTCCTGGCTCACGTTGGAATAACTGGTAATGAATAGGTTGGTAAACTAGCAAGAACGGAAACTGAAATTTCGCAATCAAGTAATAGTGTGGTACCATTTACATCAATGAAAAAAAAAATCTGATGTGTACACCACATCACTATCTTGTACGGAATATTAAATTATACGCATTTATTCTTGCATTTCGCTTAAACTTATTGGATTGAATTAAATCTACTTCTCCGACAGCGCATAAACCACAATAAAATAAATGCATTCTTTAAAATTCACTCTATTTGTTTACCATAGAGACACTCTGGCTCTAGGTTCACTTAACAGTATTATATTTCGTTCATATTATAACTCAGAATGCACAAAATTTGTATCATTTAAAGAATTACCTAATAGTTGCCACATGTTCTGTTCAAATACTATAATAAAGTTAGAACGATGTATAAAAGAAATTAAGCAATAGACTTAGCGGCACTTAAACAACTTTAAAATTGTTGATAATTCTAAAAATATTTCATACAGATTTACTAAAGGCATAAAAACCTTAACCGGAAGATAAGAACAACATAATTCAATCATTTTTAAAGCAAAAAAATGTACAATTTACAAACATATAAGAGTAAAGAAACTGAGAGCACTGAGCCGGGTAACAGAGTGGATATATACATATAAATACATTTATATACGTTTGGTGCGGCCGATTGCAACCAAAATACGACGTGTACATCTACATGTTATAGTAGTCTTATATACAAAATTTCAACGTTCTGAGGTTACTCGTTTTTGAGTTATGCGAGATACGTACGTACGCACGTACATACGTTCGTACAGACGCCACGAAATATTCTCTTCAGAATTCATTTTAAAGGAGTTTTATAATTTTTTGGAAGAAAAGTACCTTTTATTCTGTCCTTACGTACAGATGTCACGCAAAAACATCGTTAAATTGCATTCGATAGCTGTCAAAATGTATATTTCGATGAAATATGCTGCCTGAAACTTTTCGCGATTACAATACTTCCTTTTTATTTCGTACAAGGAAGTAAAAATAGGAACACGAGGCTGTGAGGAAACATTTTTGATGCTAAATTAATTGAAAAAATTAAGAATAAGAAGTGAAGGAATTCGATTTGTAATATCTCAGACTCTCCCAAATCCATCTCATTTGCGGCGTTTCGTTTGGAGACTGGACCTGATTGTCTAGCTAAACATCTATACTAAACTGGTGTATACAATAGTGTTATGGTGTGGATATTTTGATTATTAACTTATTAGTTAAGATTGCGTTGTGGCCGAAATAACTCTAAACCTTATATATGACACTTACCCAGACCCAGTCATACCAGAGGAAAAATCATACAGATTATCACACGTGAAAAATATTTTCTCTAAGTATTCGAGAGATTCAGGTTCGAGTCCCGGCGAAGACATTGTTAATTTTTCGTGTTTCCTACTTCAAAAGTCCTAATGAGTCTACAGTGGTGCCCCAACTAAAAAGTGGGTAGTTGATGATTCTTCACCACCAGGATTTGGCGATTGGGTCCCCTAATCCCTTGTTGCCCTTTAAAAGGAGAAGTGTATAAGGTATTTTTTCCCTCCTTTATGAATGCTTTCGTGGTGTAACGGTAGCGTATTCGACAGATTTCGGTTCGACTCCCGGAGAGAACCCTGCTCATTTTTCATGTATCCCGCTTCAAAATGACCTAATGACTCTATATTATAAATTTGAATAGAAAGGCATGATAGAAAAACAATAATTGTAAACGTTGTAGAGACATTACGTATTTTGGAAGTAGGAAAGATGAAAAATATGCAACGCATTCGCCGGGAATCGAACCGCGGAATTTTCAATTATGCGCTGAGCGTGCAGACCACTACACCACGAAGTCTCGCTAAGAAGGCGGGAGAAATACCTTGTATAGTCCCCCTTTTAAAGGGCGACTGGGGATTTTAGGGTACCCAATCGCGCAATCCTGGGTGAGGAGAATCAT